TTTTTAAAAACATGAACTAATCAAACCTAAATTTATACTTCCTAGAATTGTTATTTTTTAAATTGGAATACAACATAAATATCTGAAAATGGAGATTGTAGAATATTAATAGATCTATGCAAAAGAATAGAGTGAAGTCATTATGAATACTGATGTAGAGGTAAAATACTTCCATTGAAAAATCTAACATTTAACTAAAGTATGCAGATTGAAAATAGGAAGTTCAATTTTTGTTAATAAGGATGTGTTTATTACACCAGATCAAAATATAAAAATTAGACACATTACTTCTTATAGTAGAAATATGTCATCAAGCACAAATGGTAATTACTAAAAATTAATTTTAAAAAGGTAAAGTAAAAAATATGAAAAGCAAACAACAAATTGAAAAGATGAATAAAAATATGAAAACTCACCACAAGTACATAAAACATAAAAGTATCAGTTGGCAATTTGAAACATTTGCTTTAATTTTTTAAGTTTATTTATTTTGAGAGAGAAAGGGGGCCGGGGAAAGACAATACGAAGCAGGCTCCACACAGTCAGCACAGAGCTAAACGCACGGCTCAGACAAACCACAAGACCATGTCTGAGCTGAAATAGAGAGTCAGACGCTTCACCAACTGAACTATCCAGGCGTCCCAGTATTTGCTTTATTTCTTATCTACACAAATGATACACGAATGAGCTCTTGTTGGAAATATTCAAAACGTGTGGATGAAACATGGTCTCCTTGGTCATTCTCTCTCCCAGAGATGCACCTGTTGCATAGACCTTTGGACTTTTTCTCATATGCACTAAATATATTATTTTGTCTACTTTTTTAACTTAGCCATATGTCTTAGGGTTTCCACCTGTCAATGCATGTAGATGTAACTCATTTTTTCAATGCTGCGTGATATTTCCAAGTACATACACAAGCTTATGACGGAGCCGGTTTCCCTTTACTGGTCTATTTATTCACCCAAGAGCAATGTATATGCCTCACAGAGTTCCATCATGGGGCTAGAATTGGAGGAGCCCAGAGTCCTTGTTCAAGTACATCGTCTTAAAAAAAAAATTTAAAGTGTTACCCCCACCCCCAACTGCCTGGGAACCTCTGCAATACCCCTTCTCACACCAATTCTGCCTTTTTAAAAAAGGCCTTTACATTTCCTATCAGCAGCACTATAAGCAGTGCTGTGGGCTCATCCCCACTTTCTGGTATTGCTGAGTAGTGGGCGGGTGGGGGGTGTTTGCAGAGGGAGTGGGGGATGCAGGGAAGGAAGGAAGGCATGAGGTATCTCAGTAAGAGTGGCGGCACCAGCAGCTTTTGAAAGCTGACAGTCAGTCGCCTCACCCTGTGAAAGCCTGGCATATGGCAGGAAATATTGCTTTAAGGGTTCGTCTGCAGGGAATACTGTTTTAAAGATACACCTGCATGATGTCTGAAGGCTGGAGCAAAACCAGATGCTTTCGGAAATTTAAGGCTGTGATTTTCTTATTTGTTTGGAAGAGTAGGGACTCCAGCGCATTTTTAAATAAGTTTCCTTTCCCTTCCGTTGCTTAGGTTTGTTTAATAAAAGTTGGTTTCACCCGATAGTGACAGGATTAAAATGCAAAGTCATGCGTGCTTAGAGTCAATTTATATCTGTGTGGAAAGTTTTTTTTTTTTTTTTTTTACCTAAACAGGCTATATATCACGCTGGGCATTCCTACTGCCAGGAATCTGAGATCGTTTTATTTGAAATGTGGTTCTCCTTGGTTGGTCTCAGAAGCTCTTCAGGGCATGGGTGTGGGGGTGCCAGCTGATGTTGTTGTCTGCATTTATTGTGAAAAACTTAGAGGATGGAATAAAAACTTCATCTCAGCTGAGAGGGAATGAGGTCTAAGCATTACTGTTACCCAGACCCCTTTGTCATTTCCACAATGAGAACTTATTTTAGAGACGTTCGTTTGGATGGGAGGAGTCTGTGTAGCTAATAAACAATCCCCGTCCTCCCAGACTCCAGCAGAATGGCAGAAAAGTCACTTTAGCACAAAGGCGTAGACAATAAACACAGAAACAAAAAGGGTAGGAGAGGGGACTGTGTCAGGGGAGGGTCCATTGGCAGCCTTTTTGCAAGTGGGAAAATGGAAGCGAGATGGTAACTCGTTAAGTTAGGGGAAGGGGCAGAATCTGGAATCTTAGAATTTCTAGAAGGGACATGGAGAAGAAGCCAGCCAGCGGGAGCAGCAGGTGGGGGTCGGGGCCAAGGAGGACCGGGTGACGTTAGGAAGAGTCACCCGCAGCAGGTGGGGGTCGGGGTGAGAGGGGAGGACCGGGTGACCGCAGGAACCGTCCCCCTGCTGGTTACTTCTCCTGCCTCAGCCTCTCCAGGAGGCACAGGCAGCAGGAGGTGAGGACGGGAAACATGACAGATGCAGACAGATAGCGTATGACAGGAATATGAATAAATGAAGTTAGATTGCAAACCAAATGTAGTTTGTCCACAACATAACTTACTTTGGATCAAGAAATTACTTTATGCATATGATTGGTGTTGTGTGTGTGTGTGTGTGTGTGTGTGTGTGTGTGAGAGAGATATGTGTGGTGTGTGTTTTACGTACACAACATACACAACATGTGTTGTCTGTGTTATATGCATGTTGTGTGTGTTGTATCTATTGTCTGTACTTGGGGTGTAAGGTTTGGTGTTGTGTATTGTGTGTAGGGTATATTGTGTGTATATTGTGCATGTTGTATGTGGTGAGTGTGTGGTGTGGTATGTGGTATGTGTGTACTGTGTGTGGGATGAGTGTGTTGTGTGTGGTATGTGTGTGGTGTGTATAATGTGTGTGTATTGTGTGTGGGGTGAGTATTGTGCGTGTTGTATATACTGTGTGTGCATTGTGTATGTTATTTGTGACATGTATGTTATATATGTTGTGTGTGTTGTGTATATAGTGTGTGTACTGTGTGGGGTGAGTGTGTGTATGGTATGTGTGTTCTGTATGTAGTGTGTAGTGTGTGTTGTGTACTGTGTATGTTGTATGTGGTGTATATGTGTTGTGTGGTATATATGTGGTGGTGTATTGTGTGTGTGGTGTATATGTGGTGTGTGTGTTGTGCGCTTTGTGTGTGTGGTGTAAATGTGGTGTGTGTGTTGTGTGCTGTGTGTGTATTGTGTGTGTGTGGTGTGTGTGGTGTATATGTGGTGTGTGTGTTGTGTGCTGTGTGTTATTGTGTGTGTGTGGTGTATGTGGTGTATATGTGGTGTGTGTGTTGTGTGCTGTGTGTGTATTGGGTGTGTGTGGTGTGTGTGGTGTATATGTGTGTGCTGTGTGTGTATTGTGTGTGGTGTATATGTGGTGTGTGTGTTGGCTGTGTGTGTTGTGTGCTTTGTGTGTGTGGTGTAAATGTGTGTGTGTTGTGTGCTGTGTGTGTATTGTGTGTGTGTGGTGTGTGTGGTGTATATGTAGTGTGTGTTGTGTGCTGTGTGTGTGGTGTGTGTGGTGTATATGTGGTGTGTGTGTTGTGTGCTGTGTGTGTATTGGGTGTGTGTGGTATGTGTGGTGTATATGTAGTGTGTGTGTTGTGTGCTGTGTGTGTGGTGTGTGTGGTGTATATGTGGTGTGTGTGTTGTGTGCTGTGTGTGTATTGGGTGTGTGTGGTATGTGTGGTGTATATGTAGTGTGTGTGTTGTGTGCTGTGTGTGTGGTGTGTGTGGTGTATATGTGGTGTGTGTGTTGTGTGCTGTGTGTGTGGTGTGTGTGGTGTATATGTGGTGTGTGTATTGTGTGCTGTGTGTGTATTGTGTATGTGGGGTATGTGTGGTATGTGTGGTGTATGTGGTGTGTGTATTGTGCAGGGTGAGTGTGTGATGTGTGTGGTGTGTGTGTTGCTTATATTGTGTGCAGCGTGTGTGTGTGGTGTGTGTTGTGGGGGGAATGTAGCATCTACATCTTGCCACCGTTCTCTCTCACAGCTTTTCTCCAACAGCATTCTTTTCATTTCTTCTAATTTTTACCAAACACAACATCCACGTTTCCACTCTTTCTTCCTCTGACTTCCCTGCCACGGAAGTCAGGTTCAAGCCTGCCCTCTCCGTGACGTCCATCCACCTTGACCTTATCGGTCCTGTGTCCTCTGCACCTGTGGCCCGAACTTCCCTTGCATCTAGCGTGCGTGGTCTTGGATTGTTGTTTTGCTTTAAATTGCTTTCTGTTCAGCTAGAACCTGTGTCCTACTATAAACGTTTTGTGTTATTGACTCTCGCGTCCATGTTACAGGGTGAGGCGTGTGTGCTCTACCTCCTTCTACAACAGCACGGCTAGAGAAGAGGGGGCACGCAGTACTTTCTTAGCAGGCAGAGCTGACCCGGCTCGGAGACTGCAGTTTGGTTTCGTGGACTCAGAGTTCAGCCTTGCGTGGGCGTGTGCTGATCCAAGATCTAACCTGACGGAGTTCGTGTGCTTGTTTTAGTAAAGTCCTCAACAGACCAGTTCTCTTTCTGTAGTGGTTTTATTTTAAAATAATTTTAGAGTTACCGAAAGTTGCACAGAGACTACTAAAGTATCTTTTTAGATAATACATAAATACATATGTGTTGTTAATTTAACGTCACTACATGTAAAGTCAATGAATTTTACATGTGATTCCTTCTACTGCCAAGCACCTTGTTCTTCCAAAGTCAGAATAAGAATCTTCGAAATAGCCCTTTATAAAAGAATTTTTGTTCAGTCCACAGTTGTAACTATCAGTCCACAACTGTTTTGATCTCCACTGGAATATGGGCATACTTCAGAAACTCCCCACCTGTATTCTTTGGGATCCACTTTCTTACTTTAGGACCATGTTTAGGGTCAAAGAAGATGGATGTGCCTGGTTCTCAATTTCAGACACCCTCTTAACATGAATGAGTTCAAATCATATTCGCCCCTGAGCGATCACGCCCTAGAACTGTACAGGTTGCTGGGGTACGCCACCACCTGAGGTTTACAACATGAGACGTTAGGTCTCTCACATAGTTTCAGCAGATCCGTGTCCTAGAGTTCTTTCCCTTGGGCCTAACACATCGTCCTGTGAGTAAAGGAAACCACGCAAATACTCTACAAGGTGTTCCTGGCAATGTAAGTCTTCAGAAAAAGTCCCATCGGGATAGACCTCAACAAAACATAAATATACTTTTAACTAAAACAGAAACGAAAATTGCTTTGCGACTTTCCTGTATTCTAAAACACATGTGGATATTGTCTGTGTCAGTAAATATACACCTATCTGATTATTCTTAATGGCTGCAAAGAAAGGACAAATGGACCATAATTTGTAAAACAGATTCCTTGTTTAAGCTGTTAAGACGTGGATGTATGGTGTTTATAATTTTTTCCTATTTAAAAAAATGTAGTGATGCTAATGTCGTTAAATATTCATATATTTCCCCGTGTGTTTTCTTGGTGAAGACGTCTAGAAGTCACTGAGTGGAAGGGGAAAGCGTTTTTAAAGACTTCCGATGCCCTTGCCAGCTCACTCCGCAAAGCTTTGGTCTCTGCATCAGCTGCACATGAGTGTTCGTTTCAATTGACTCCTGACCACACTGGGCATTATCTTTTTCATGTTTTCACACTGGTTGCCAAAAATTGTGTTTTTCCTTCTCCAATGATTTGTATATATTTGGTGACTAGTGAGAGTGAACACTTTTTTTTTTTTTTTTAACATTCAGTAACTTAGTATCAGACGTTAAGTAGGTGAAACCCTCAAGCCTCAGTGAGTGACAGAATGCTAGGTGTAGAAAGCATCACAGAATGACCTTCAGGGCAGTGGGGAGACCGGGGATCCGGCAAATGGGATCTCAAGAAACACTAGTAGAAAAATGCACGAGTGGACTTTGGGACGCATTAAAAATGAGGAGCCTCCTTCCGCACCAGCCTGAGTTTGGGGTGCTCAGAGGATATGCAAATGGAGAATTTCAGGGGCAATTTAATAACACCCCCTGGCTGACCGTCTCTCCAGCAATTCTGCACCTTCACCTGTCTGAAGTTATGAGTCATCTGGGAAAATTATATGCCAGGAGGGAGGGTTTCCTTCCTGTCCGTTGGCACTGTCCGCCCCCTCCTGCTGCAGGCTGCTACTCTCTCTGCTTTGCGTCATCTATTTCTTCTACTTCACGGGCTCGTTCCCCTGGGCACCCAAGCAGCCTGTTTGTTTCCCACCCTTAAAGGACCTTATAGATTAATAAGCAGGTGGAAGGGGTTTGTCCTCAAAAAATTAAAAATAGAGCTACCCTACGACCCAGCAATCGCACTGCTGGGTATGTATTCAAAGGATACAAAAATGCTGATTCGAAGGGGCACAGCCTCCCCGGTGTGATAGCAGCCCCTACCAACAATAGAAAGAACTCATGTCCATCGACTGATGAAGGGATAAAGAAGATGTGGAATGCTACTCGATGATGAAAAAGAATGAAATCATGCCATTTGCAACAACATGGATGGAAGTGGAGTGTATTATGGTAAGCGAAATAAGCCAGAGAAAGACAAATATATGATTTCACTCATTTGTGGAATTTAAGATACAAAGCAGATGGCCATAAAGGAAGGCAAAGAAAATAAGATAAAAACAGAGAGGGAGGCAAACTTTAAGAGACTCTTAAATACAGAGAACAATCTGAGGGTTGCTGGTGGGGAGGTGGGGGGGGGATGGGCTAAATGGGGGATGGGCAGTAAGGAGGGCACTTGTTGAGATGAGCACTGGGTGTTACATGGAAGTGATGAATCCCTGGGTTCTGCTTCTGAAATCATTATTATGCTATATGCTAACTAACTTGTTACTTGTCTACATGTGTTACTGTACTGTTCTCAATTGCTATTTACTTTTCACTCTTTAAAATGTGACCTGTGATGTAAAAAGTAAATAAAATGTGAGGTATAATGTAAAAAATAAGTAAGTAAATAAAGTCTGAGATATAATGTAAAATATAACAGGCATGTAAGAGTACATGAAACACAACTGTATTTGTTTATACTTATATGTACGTGTTGGTTACATAAATATATGTTTAGAGATCGATGTCTAAACTACGACATCACCAGCACCTTTGAAATTCCCTGTGTGATGTTCCTGAGTCACACATCCTTGTCCCTATGGAAATAACCACTTTTCTGAGCTTTGTGATAATCATCCCTTTCTTTGTAGTTTTCCCAGATTGTATGTCTCCCTAAGCTAACTGTATAGTTTCTAGTTTGTCTGTTACATAGGACATATCATCATATGCATCCTAAATTAGTTTGCTGTTTTTGTTTTAGGGGCTTTTCTTTTTTGTGCTCAACATTATTGAATTTCTGTTGTGCTGATGTGGGTAGCTGAATTATGTTCAAAGTATAATACGCCATTACATGGATATATCCAGACTATTTCTCTTTTGTACACTTGAAGGGTATTGATGTCATTTCCACTTTTTCTCCTCTTTTATTGTTAATGCAGAACATGCTTCTGTGAATATTGTCGTCACTTACTAGAAGAGATTATCTAGGAATTTAAATGGTGGCTAATAAGATGGTCCATTCTCAGGCTAACTAGATATTGCCAGTTTTTCTGGAAGGCTGTTCTACAAAGTGCATTGCCCAAAGCGTTCCATAAGTATTTCCGCTGCTCCACACTCTTGAGAACGGTGGCATCAGCAGGCTTCTTAACTTTCCAGCTGATTGATAGGAAATGCCGATTCCCTGTGGTTCTAATGTGCATTTCCCATATTGCTAAGAAGGTCAATCATCTTTTTAAAAGATGTTTATTTATTTATTGAGAGAAAGAGGGAGAGAGAGAGAATGTGTGTGCTCAAGGGAGGGGCAGAGAGAAAGGGAGGGAATCCCAAGCAGGCTCCACACTCAGCAACAAGCCTGATGCGGAGGCATGGGCACTTGATCTCGTGCCCATGAGAGCGTGACTTGAACCCAAGTCAAGAGTCAGATGCTTAACTGCAGGTGCCCCAAGGTTAATCGTCTTTTCAAATGTTTGTTGGCCATCTACGTTTCTTCTTTTGTAAAATTCCTTGTTTGCATCTTTTTGGTTGTTTCTCTTTTCTTATTGAACAACGTGCGTTCTTTTTATCCTGTGGTATCCATAATATTATATATATTGTATATACCCTCAGCCACTTTACGTCTTATACTTTTACCTTCTTTGTGGCATCTTTTTATGAGCAAGTGTCATTAATTTTAATACAGTCCAATTTATCAATCTTATATTTTATGAGAAATGGTTTTTGTGTCTTGTTTAAAAAAAACCCTTGTCTACCTTGAGGCCATAACTATCTTCCATATTTCTCTTAATGTTTCACAATTGTGTGTTTTATAACCAAGCTGAAATCTATCAGTCAAGTACAAATGAAGCAAACGGTCCAGTTGCAATGCAGAGATTGGAATTTTAGAAGTTCAGTCACATGCTGAAATGGTCAAAGTCTAAAATTAACCAATTACTTTATTCGACAGCTAGAAAATAGAAGGACTCCGAGGCCCCATTTCTTCCCCACTGCACCAACGCTATCTTCTTATGCTACCAGTTCTTCTGTTTGCTTACTTACCACCACTTTGCTCTTCATTCCTTCTTTCCTCTCAAACGTTCCATCTGGATCTCTCTCTGTCTTTTCTTTTTTTTTTTGCTTTTAGGCATTTCTGTAGGACACAGACGACTTCTCAGTCCTTGAAAATGTTTCTACTTTGCCCCTGTTCTTAAAAGGTATTTTCACTGCTCTATAATTATACGGTGATGGTCATTTTGTGACAGTACTGTTCCATTGTCCTCTGGCCTCCATGGTTCCTGTTGAGAAATCATCTGAAACCCTAACTGCCACTTTATTAAAGACAATCAGTCTTTCTTCCTGTTCCTCTTTTGTTTTTACCGTTTTTCTCTCTGTCATTGATGTTCTTCAGTTTTTCTATAATGTGTCCAGGTATAGGTGTCTGGGGTTTGTATGTATTAAGTACGTGTGTGTGTGTGTGTGTGTGTGTATGTGTATATATTAATATATGTAGATGTGTGTATATAGGTGTCTTTGTGGAAAGTTCTCAGTAAATATGTCTCCAAATATTGTGTCTTCTTCGCTGTCTCCCCATTACTTCTGGAGCTCCAGTTAAGCACATTCCTCTTCTCCATGTCCCTTCCACTTCTCTTTACTTCTCTTTCGTATTTTACAGAACACAGTGACAGGCATTGAGGGAGTGGAGTGGCAGGCGTAAGAGCGTTTCAGAGCGGAGAGTACGTGCTCACTCCCGCAAAGTCGTGAGGAGGCTCGCGTAGTTAGTGCTCCCAGAGTGAAGGGGCAGGAGCGAGATGAAGCAGAGATGTGGGCAGGGACAGGTTGTTCAGGGTCTGTAGCCAGTGAGAACCATTCCAGGGTCTACAGAGATGGTGAGAGGATAAGATCTGTGTATGGAGAAACTCACTTGGCTTTTGAAAGAGAGAATGGACTGAAGGAAGCCCAGATAAGAGGTCAGGAGACTAACGAATAGGCTACTGTAGTGTCCAGACAAGGAACTAAGCACCAAGGTGCTGAGAGGTGAGAGGAAGAGAGTGAAGTAGAACTGAAGACGTCTAGGAGACAAAAATCAACACAAGTCTGCGTTTTGGAAGTTCTGGCTCGAGGATGAGAATGGAACAGAAACACAGGTCATACTGTGACACAGAAGGAATAAGAGAAGTCATTATTTTCAGATCATATCCCTAGGGAGTCTCAAATCAACTAAAAATCTGTTTGCCTTAGGGAAGTTATTTATGAGCCCGAATTTTCCGTGTACCTCACTCTCTGGGTGGCTGTCTCCCCTCTGTTCTCTCCTCAGACCTTTTCTCTCTTGCTCAGACTGCTGTCAACCTCACGATCCACTCGTGATCACGCTATAAGAGCAGCCAGGAGGGAAGATCCACATGCCGCCATCACCACCCCTGCCCACGCCCTCGGGGTCCATCTTTCCCCCGTTCCTGCAGATGAACTGTCCACACCAGGGCACGCCCTCCACTGTGCACTGGCTTCCAGTCCCTTTGCCCCTCAAATCCCTTTCTCTCAGCATCGTCATTTCCCCACTCTACTAAATCATCCCCATCAGTATAGAAATATGTGGTTTTTCTCCTTTAAGAAAGACCCTCTGAGCCCACGTGCCTACCCAGCCGCTACTCTACTT